TATATATATATATATATATATATAGGGTGTGGTTTGTATAGAGCTTAGGCATTGAACCATCAAATTAGAGCCTACCTTCAAATGGTTTCAAGAAATGTGGTTTCAATACTGGAAATCCACTTGATAGTCTTAAAATGTATTTTAATATTTATTTATAAAGTTTAAAGCTTCAAAATAGTGTACATCGACAGATGTATGAGAATTTGAAAATCTTGAAAATTGACGGTCCAAAAATACGTTACAAAATACATTATTTCCAAAACTTGAAATCCATTTTTCTCTCGCGTCCATGCATCTTGACGTCAAATTGATCAATTTGAAGATATTTGGGCATCAAAACAACCTCTTCTGGTGAAAATTTTGAGGTAGGCTCTTATTTGATTGTTTAGAGCTTAATGCAACAATTGTATCATTTAATAATGCAACCAAACTTCTAGAAAACCATGTTTGTGGTATTTGTACGACCCAAAATTTTATACACACACTCTCTTTATCTCAATAATCAGTCCCAAAAATAAAAAAGTTCGATTTGAATCCTAGATATGGTCAAAATGAGGCCCTTTCAACAACAAATCTAGGCCATTCATTTTGTGAATTTCACGATCCTAATCTTTACAAACTCAAAATCATTTTTTCTTTTTTAACATTATTCATCTAATGATAATAAAGTCATCTAAAAAATTGGACAAGAAAAAATCCTCCTAAGGCCTAAATCTAAGCTTCTTATCAAAATGGACGGTCTATGTTAATTGGGCTAAAAAAATACTTTTGAGATTGCATTTTCAATTATTATTATTTATTATTGCTCATTAGAATGAGAAGAGTATATATTCTAAAACATGGATCAAATGACCTTAACTTGGTTTTTATTATTGTGCATTATATTACAATACAACTATTGTATGAAATCATTGCCCTATCATAGTTTGACACCATACTTGGAATTTGAGCTCTGTCTATGAGGGGGTGGCAATTAGGTTGGGTCGACCAGCTGACCCGGCTAGTCAACCCGACAAAAGTCCCAGTTTGGTTCAAATATTGAACCCACTGGGTAGGGCATTTAGGTCCAAATGACTTGGACTTGACCCAGCCGGGTTTAGGTCTAGATCCATCCTAATCTCATCGTGGCTCCGGATCAAGGTTAACCAGATACGATCCATCGCGACCCAACACACTTGGACAGGACCCAACCCGGTGGATTGTGTTTGAGTCAATATGGGTCTTGGTCGGACCCATTAAAAGCCTTCTCTCTCACACACGCAATGTTTATGTGTGCATCTGCTTGTAAATGTTCGACTCTCCGGGTCTCTCCTTTGGCAATTTCATGCTAATGTATTGGAAATTCAAATAAAATTTGAAGCCATAAAAGGAGTAGGAATGTGTGTACTTGAGGGATGTCACCAATCTGAATTGCATCGGCGGAACATTTTTGGGGATGGTAGTGATATTGAGGTGGGCCTGTGAAAGGATTACACACATGCCAAGCCCCTTGAGATGAAGAAAACCTTCTCAGCATAGATATGTTCTTGTTCACCTGTGTGATAGAGAGAGATTACTTAAGAAAGACAGGCTCATATAATATGGGGGGGGGGAGAGAGAGATTACTTAAGAAAGACAATGGTTCATATAATATGGGGAGAGTGAGAAATTGTTTTAAAAAGATAATGGTTCATATAGCATGGATAGAGAGAGACCCTCTTTTTTTTTTTTTTTTTTGAGAAATTCAGTGGGGAACATGCCCTTGCCCGTTATAATCTTTTGTGATAGAATAGTTGGGGAGTTCGCTTTTTGAAGGTCTTAATAGAGTGGTGTCAGTAAGAATGGAAACCATAACATGATGACTAAGATGTGGGGTGCCACCACTACGACCCCAACCTCTTTCAACTCTTTTCACTAAGCAAGACGAATAACTACCATTAAAGGAAATTCCCCTCCGGCTTGATAGAATGTTGTGGTTGGAGGGTTCGAACTTTACGATAAACGGTAGAGCCATAACTCAAACCTCGCAGGAAAACACATTTCCAGTACTTGGAACCTTTTGAGGAGAACTCTTTTTTTTTTTTTTCTTTTTATGCTTGTCGACATGATCTATTTGCACAATTTTTATCGTCCTAAAACTCCATTTCCTTTGGGGGCAATATCTGAGGTGAGGCTTTATAAATTGCAGCCTTACAAAATTACCTTTTTCAATTAGATAAACGACCAAAATACCTCATAAGATTGAACTAATAATTCTAAGTTTCTCATGATGCAGCATACGTAAAAAAAAAAAAAGCGAGACAAGGAAATGCAGCTTATTTACAGAAAAATAAACAAGACAAGGAAATCTCAATGGGAGAAATTTCCCCTCACATTGGATAAATAGCCCCAAAAAAATTACGCTCAAATGCGATGCGAGGGAAAATGCCCTTCGGATAAAGGACCAAACTACCCTTAGGATCCCAAAAATCCTCAATCCCTTGCATAGTTTGTACATTTCATATAAAAATATTCTCTTCAAAATGGATAGGAATGGGAATGACCAATATATCCTCACCCTCGTTTGTGTTATGCTTTTAGAAAAGGAAAATGTTTGTATAAGGTTACTAACCTTTATATTGTAGAAATAATGTGCACTTCAAAAATCTTCTAGAAAAGAGTGTTTTGAAGTTGGGGAAGACTTTCAAATTGACCATTTTAACTTCAAGATGCATGGATATAGATAAAAAATTTATACATCTACTTGATATGCACGGATTTTGAAATTTTAAATCTCATACAAGTAGGGTTGAGCATCGACTTTCAAAATGGTGTAAGGTTTCTGTTACTGGAACTACATATTCCAACAAAATCTAAATGCACACCTTACTTGAATAGCATAAGGTGGGCACCTTAAAGAAACCTCACCCTTTAAAAAGCTGTACAATTTATAAAAATACCACCACATCTCAATGAGGAGATTCCCTTCAAATTAGATAAAAGGGAAAATTTTATATAGAGCCGAGGCTCTAAACAATCAAATAAAAGTCTACCTCAAAAATTTCACTAGAAGATGTTGTTTTGATGCCCAAATATCATCAAATTGATCATCTCGACATCAAGATACATGGACATGAGAAAAAATTGGATTTCAAGTTGTGGAAATAGTGTAGTTTGTGACGTATTTTGGACCATCAATTTTTAAGATTTTCAAGTTTTTATAGATCTGTCGATCTACACTATTTTTGAAGTTTTAAAATTTATAAATAAAAATGAAAATATATTTTAAGGCTATCACATAGACTTCCAGTATTGAAACCACATTTATAGACATTCTTTGAAGGTAGGCTCTAATTTGATTGTTTAGAGCCTAGGCTCTGTACAAACTGCACCCTTAGATAACTGATCAAAGTACCCCTCAATATGACCCGGTAATCCTTAAAACATGCTAATTTAAGAAAGGGATTGTTTTTACTATTTATCTTTTGTATACGAAGGTTATAATCTTTATATGGCGGTCATAATCATTCTTGCCCTTTAAAAAATGGACGTTTGAAAGAGTTATGGAATAAACACAAAGTTTTTAGAAAAAAAGTTTCAGACTTCGTGATTCACCCCAAACCATTCAATTTGACGTCTATTGAGTGGAAATAATTATGATCGCTATTTACAAAAAAAAGAAAAAAAAAATGATTTCTTTATAGACAATCCTTGAAAAGTGCAAGAAACCTCAATAGAAGAAAATGCCCTTTTAAATGAACGAAGAGGGACCCCTCAAAATGATAATGAAGAACGATGCCCAACTCTCACCTGGTTTATGAAACCATGGAGTCCCTCTCTAGTCTCTAGCAAGATGCCCTCAGCTGATTCAAGGTCATCGCAGGGCAGCACTGAGCCCAAGCTGCTGTTATGTGGGTGTTGCCGGAATTCCTCTAGTCCTGAGCACGAGTCTTCGGCAAATCTGCAAAACATTCTTCTTAGTTTTCAAAAAGAAAGAAAAAATTGCAGTCAAAATTTACAGTGGAAACGCCATTAAATAGATTTGGTTGAGCAGATGATATCACGCACTTATTGATGAAGTAATATGCACCGAAATACAGCCATAAGAGGACAGTGAGGAACCAGCAGATGAAAATCACCCTACATAACACAAGATTTTAGAGAGAGAGAAAGAGAGATAGAAGAGAGAGAGAGAGAGAGAGAGAGTGAGGTATCATAGTTTACTGACGATAAAAAAGTTCGGCGACATCGGATGGCTGAAAAAACTGCAATTGTATTAAGGGTGAGGAGTCAAAATCATCATTAAAAATATCAAGATTACATATAAAATGTTTATCCAGTGATTTTACAAAGAAATATAAGTTTATGATTTATTAATAAATTTGTTATTTGACCGAGTTTGTACACAAGATCTCAGTTCGGCGAGGGGCAGGATCCGCATATCTCAGCCGAATTTAGAACCCTGGTTGTTTTAATTGAGATTTTTGAATATTTACTCACATACCTGGTAATACAAGAACTAGGGCGAGGTTCACTGATACTAAACAGATGGTGGATACAAACCTGCAACAGGAAAACAAAATTGTAGTCATCTACATATCCAGAAATGATCTAGAATAACAGTTAGTTGTTATATATAGCAATGTGTGTGTGTGAAATGAAAGGTGTAGATTAGTGGTAGATGGGGGAAGAAAAAGAAAAATTACAATAATCTGAGTCCCTTCTCAATCAAATGTTGGTTCTTGTGTGCTTGGTCCCTTAGGTCTGAAGCTGTTGTTTTGAGCTTTTCCGAAGTCGAGTTTAGATCGCGGTCGGATTCAGTCTCGACATCAGCTTGCACTTGCTTTTGCATGTCTTCTATGGCATCAGTTACATTGTAAATGGTTTTGGTGGCTTCTTCAGTTGCTGAAACTAATGTGTTCTTCACCACCTTAGCTCTAGTATAGAACTTGGTGTTAGCAGCAAGAACTACAGAGGATAGAGTTCTGGAAGAGACAGCAAAAGATAGAGTAAGGAGGAGGAGAACTTTTTATTTCACATTTCTTTTTAAGATGGAGATTGGGTTTAGATCATAAGCTAAGCATTCAAATCAATAAAACGACCAAAAAACATATAAAAAAAAATCAACCTCGTGGTTAAATCAACCAAATTGGTAAGTTTAAGACATTACTTTTTTTTTTTAAAAAAAAGGAGCGGTAATTTTTTAAGATCTATTTTGCTTGGGTAACTCCTAAAGTTGTTTATTTTAAAAAACTCAAATTGAATAAGGTTGGTAATTTATCAACTCATATCCTTGCTTGTTTTGGGTCTATCCGGAAATATATCTTTTACAAAAAAAAAAGGGAAAAGTTTATATAAAGTTGCAATCTCAAAATGTAGAACTATGAATGCACCTCAAAAATCCATCAGTAAAGGTTGTTTTAATATTCAAAAACCCTCTAATCGATCATCTAAACATCGAATGTAGGACTATGAAAAAAGAAAAGATTTTGAGTCCCAAAAGTGGTGCATCTTACAACTCATTATCTAGACTGTCTATTTTCAAAAGTTTCATATGTTTATAGATCTACTTGATTTTAATTATTTTTAGAGTTTAAAATTTTATAATTAGATTTAAAAATAAATTTTGAGATAATCTTAAGAATATTTTATATCAAAATTATATATTATGATAAAATTTGAAGGTGTGTCTGTAATGGATTATTTAAAGTTACAACTTTATGAAAACCACACCCTAAAAAAAATATTATTTTGTATTTGGAACTCAAAACAAGCTAGAGATGTACAACTTTTGACTCGAGTAACTTATGGATCTAATTACCAAAATGTCCTATTTTGAGCCTATATATTGTATTTGGTCATGACGAGCCTTGGTCCAAGCCCAAAAGTGTTGGGTACGATTGGGCCCAAAAATTTAATTTTGGGCCTACACTGGCCCAGCGTACCCTGCGCAGCCCAAGTTCACGAGAACGAAGTCCGAGCCCAGCCCAAAGTGAATGGGCGGGGCCCTATTTAACTATCGACAAAAATATTTAATATATGTGATATATACTTAAAATTTTTCTTGGATGGGCCTGGGGCCAATGGTAGATCAAGCAAGGCTCCAAATATTTTGGGCATACCGGGCCTAGCGTGAAACTAATCTGCCCACCATAACATGTGGGCTAGAATCCGCCCATAAGCTAGGCCTGGCTCAAAAACCCAATGATCAGCCCCAGGCTAGTTTGTAGGCCTTACCTGACCCTAAATTGGGCCGAGCTCAAAATCCGTGGACCAGACCAAGCCCGTTAACAGGCCTAGCTATGGTCAAGCATATGGATAAGAAAAACAATCTTACTCAATCATCAGAAGTGGCAATGGACTCGGACCCGGATCCGACCCGGGACCCGAGGGGTAGACCAAATTTGGGTTAAAAAATTAGACCCGGCGGATTAGGTTTGAGTCTAAATCTGGAACCCGAACACTATTCGAGTCGGGTCCAGGCCCTGGTCTAGTTGGACCCCCAACGGAACCGACCCAACCTGACCCGTTGCCACCCCTATCAATCATACTCTTTTTAGGTTACTTCCAAAAAGCAAATTTTTGTGGGCTCACAATACTATTTTCATTTTACTTCCTAAACAAGCAACTACATTTGAGGGTCCCAGTTGGCACTTTTGTTGAATGCTTTAAAACAAAGAAAAGAACAAAAAGCATCCAATTCCAAGACGAAAACGCTTCTCACCAAGAACAAATTTTACTATTGCAAAAGAGAATTTTTTGGTTCATTTTTACTAATAAAACATAAAGTAAAAACCAAAAAAATCTAATTACTTTCATCCACTTACATGATAAGAATGGTGAGGACCAACCCCAAGGCCAGTGACCAAACGTGTGATCTACACATGTAAGGCAACCCCTTCGGTTCTTTCTCATTTCTCTTAGTGTAGTGCTGGTAAACAAGAAAGCCAGCATAAACAAGGCCAACAAAAAACCAAGCTGCACCAATTGCATAACCAGGAATCCCTGTAAAAATAGTGGACTGAAATAGAGAGATTAAAATATTATTTAATAGAAAGAGAGCATATGTTATTGTTAATGAACACAAATGAGGATTAACACCAAAAAAAAAAATATGAACACATATAAGGAACAAAAGTAGTTTTTGTGGAAGAGAGAGGCAACATGAATTCAAGAAAATATGGTTTAAGGGAAAAATTAATGAGGTGGTTAATTCAATATTTTCTACCGATAAAATGATTACCTTTTAGATCTCATTTCATTGAAGTAACTCGTCAAAAGATTTGTAGAAAAATGCCCGATTTACCGAACTTGTAACATGAATGAAAGCATTTTGGTAATTTTATCCATTTAATTCACTTGAGTTAAACAACCTAAATAATCTTTCTTGTTCTGAGTTCCAAACCAGGAACATATTTTTTATTTGCAGTGAATGTTGTGTTGTGTTTGTCAAACAAACTAGGACATTTTGGTCCACTCAAGTTACTTGAGACAATAAAAGGAATGCTTAAACGTAGGACAAGATTTTTCAATAAAAAAGGTATGTTTTGGTTTGAAACTCAATACAATTAGGACTAGTTAAGTCATTTGGTTGGAGTAACTTAAGTGGCCAAGTAATGAAAATGCCCTCCTGTCTTCAAGGTTTCAAACTGAGACAGTTATGTTTCAAATCCAAAAGAGAAGTAGTTCGAGTATCGGTAAACAAATAATAAAGAAGGTACACAAGTGAAAATGATTTTTTAATAACTGTTAGTTTATTGGATACTTTTTGTACAAAGAGGTCACAAACATTTTCACTTATTAAATGTCAAATTGGATGGTTTGGGGTGAATTATGAATTCCGAGATTATTATTATTATTATTTTTTGAAATTGTTTAATCAATGACACCTTACAACCATCGATTTTGAAATCTAAAAGACGATAATAATTGTGACCTCCTTAAATAGTCTATTTATAGACAATCCCATTTTATTAGTAAATTAGTAGGTTCCTAAAGTTTGTCCGGTGGTTTAACCATCTTAATATTATGCTTTTATTATCTAATAAGCATGAGGTGGGGTCTTACACTCCAATAGTGGGGATTTGTAAAGTTGTAGTCTCCTCTATATTTCTTAAACTTATCAAGAGGATCGACCCGCACGATCTTAACGAAGTAGTCATTTGGTTCATATGGGTACGGCTGCTCCACCACATCCATGCCTGAG